TGAACCATGAGAAATCATGGACTCTGAGAAACAAACTGAGGGTTCTAGAGGGGAGGGAGGTGGGGGGATGGGTTAGCCTCGTGGTAGGTATTAAAGAGGGCACGTTCTACATGGAGCACTGGGTGTTATACGCAATGAATCATGGAACACTACATCAAAAACTAATGATGTAATGTATGGTGACTAACATAACATAATAAAAAAATAAAATAAATAAAATAAATTTTAAAAAAAGACTTGTGCATGAATGTTCTTGGCAGTTTTATTAATGACAAAAACTGAATATGACCCACATGTCCAACAGGTAAAACAAACTGCAGCATATCTAAAAAATGCAATACAAGACAGCAATAGAAAGGAATGAACTGTTGACACATTAACAATATGGATGAACCTCAGGGTGCCTGGGAGGCTCAGTCGGTTAAGCATTCCATTCTTGGTTTCCACTCAGGTCATGATCTCGGGGTTGTGAAACTGAGCCCCGCATCAGGCTTTGTGCTCAGCACAGTCTGCTTGAGATTCTCTCTCTCCCTCTCCTTCTGCCTCTTCCCCCTCACACTCTCCCTCTCTCTCAAATAAATTTTTTTTAAAAATAGATGAACCTCAAAACATTATGCCAAATACTGGATGTTGTATGTAAGTGATGAACCACTAAACAGTATACCTGAAACTAACATTATACTGTATGTTAACTAACGGGAGTTTAAATAAAAACTTGAAAAAGAAAAAAAAATTGTGCCAAATAAAAGATACCAAATACAAAAGAGTACATATACTAGTCTTATGTAGTATATATATAATTTATTACACCATTTATATAAAATTCTAGAACATTCAAAATTAGTTTACAGTATGGCAAATTTTATGTTATAATTATTTTATCACAATAAAATAATAAAATAGAAAAACAATCTACAGTAATAGAAAGCAAACAAGTGATTTCCCAGGATCTGGAGTTGACTGCAAAGCACAAGGAAACTTCTTGGGGTGACAGAAATGTTCTACAGACATGGATGCATACACTTGTCAAAATTCATCAAAGTGCACAGCTAAATAAAATAGACGCATTTTTTTAAAGATTTTATTTATTTATTTGAGAGAGAGAGAGAGAGCACGAGAGGGAAGAGGGTCAGAGGGAGAAGCAGACCCCCCGCTGAGCAGGGAGCCCGACGTGGGACTCCATCCCGGGACTCCGGGATCATGACCTGAGCCGAAGGCAGTCGCTTAACCAACTGAGCCACCCAGGCGCCCTAAAATAGACACATTTTTTAAAGGATTTTATTTATTTATCTGACAGAGAGAGAGCACAAGCAGGGGGAGGGGGAGAGGGAGAGCAGACTCCTCACTGAGCAGGGAGCCCGACGCAGGGCTGGGACCCTGGGACCATGACCTGAGCCGAAGGCAGATGCTTAACCGACTGAGCCACCCAGTCGTCCCATAGATGCATATTTGTATGTAAATTATACTTAAGTAAAATTTAAAATTTTTAAAACAACAACAAAATTTAAAAAATTTTAAAAACACACACATACACAAAACTTTCCTTACAAAGGCAGGAAAAAAAAGAAAGTCTGGGAAACAAAGTATATGAAGTTCCAGTTATAAGCACATTGAAATAAGTCTTCATTTCAGTCTTTGTTACAAAAGGCCTACTGTGATGTCAGTGTATTAATTTAATATTGCTGCACAATAAATTTTCACAATCTTAGAAATTTAAAACAACACAAATTTATTGTCTCACAGTTTCCATGGGTCGGGAGTCTGGGCTGAGTTCATTGCTTAGGGTCTCACTTGAAATCAAGGTGTCAGAGGGACATGATCTCATTTGAGGCTTAGGGTTCTCTTCCAGGCTCATTCAGGTTAGCAGAATTAGGTTCGTCGTGATTAGATGGCTGGAGTTTGTTTTCTTGCTGGCTCTCTCAGCTCCTAGAGGCTGCCCTCAGTTCCTAGCCTTATGGCTTTCTCACAACTTGTCTACTATTTCAACAAATCCAGCAGAAAAATCTCCTTCAAAGGTTCACCTGATAAGTCAGGCCCACCACAGATAGCCTCCCTTTTTGATGAATTCAAAGGACATTAATAACATCTGCAAAATCTCTTCTTTGCCACATAACATAATCTCATGAAAGGGCTGATATCCTATTATATTCATAGATTCTTCCATGCTCAAGGGAAGTTGACTAGATAAGGTATGCACATAAGGAGGACAGGAATCTTAGGGGCTATTCAGAATTCTGCCTACCATCGTCTGACCTCTGGCACTCAATAATTCATTCCCCCCCAAAGGAAAAAGAAGTTCACTCCCTCCCAAGGTTCCCTTCCCCTGCCATTACACTGGCAGTTCAAAATCCATGATCTTATCATCTAAATCATCTATATGTGGTACAAATAATGCTCCTGGGTATAATCCATTAAGTACAGTTCCTCGAAGAAGCACAATTCCTCTTGGCAGACCTGGGAAACTAAAGAGACCAGTTGTCTGTCTCCAACACTCCCATCACAAAATGGTGGACCAGGCATAGAACAATTAGAGATACTTCAGTTCAAAACTTCCATTTTTAAAAAAAAACTTCCATCCTTGCCTTTTCATGAAAGGTATAACAAACTTGTAGGTGAGTAATTTTATCAGCCTGCTTCCTAACAGAATTTTGCTGGGTCTTAGCCTCTGCTGTTTGTTAGAGCAGCACCACCCTTGATTCTACAACCTGTCTTAGTTCTCTGTTCTTGCATATAACAAATTACCACCAATTCAGCAGCTTAAAACAACAGACATTTACTATCTCCCTGTTCCTGTAGATCAGAACTACAAGCATGGTTTATCAGGTTTTCTGCTTATGGGCATGCCAGGCTGCATCCCAGGTATTTCCTGGAGCAAAGGGCTTATCAGAAGAATTGCTGGAGAAAGATCTGCTTCCAAGCTCATTGAGGTTGTAGGTAAATTCCCATTCCTTGCACTTATATAACTGAGGCTACTGGCCCTAAAGGCCGTATCATAGCAACTTCAAGGCAAGCAGGAGAGTCTTGCTGCAGTCAGCTAAGATCAAGTCTTACATAACAACATAATCATGGAAATGATCTCCTGTCACTTTTACATCCCATCACTTTTGCCATATTCTTTTGGCTAGAAGCAAGTCACAGGTTCTGCCCACATCTAAGGAGAGAGGATTATACAAGGGCATGACTCATTGGGCGCCATGTTAGTATGTTCCTTTGTCTCCGTTATTTTCTTCAACCTGAGAAAAACTGCTATGGTCTTTCACATTTCTAGTATTTGGCACAGAGCCTAACACAGAGGAGCTCTAGATAATTTAAAGCTGCAGTTATCAAACCTATGATTTCAGGATCCCTTTTATACTCTTAAAAAACATTATTGAGACTTAAAAAAAATTATTGAGGACCTGAAAGAACTTTTGTTTATATGGGTTATATGTATTGATTTTTAGTAAGACATTTAAAACTTCATTTACTGATTCATTAAAAAGTAGTAAACTCATTATATGTTAACGTACATAACATTTTTTAAGATTTTTTTTTAAGATTTTATTTTTATTTATTCGAGAGAGAGAGAGAATGAAAGATCGAGAGCACGAGAGGGAAGAGGGTCAGAGGGAGAAGCAGACTCCCTGCTGAGCAGGGAGCCCGATGTGGGACTCGATCCCGGGACTCCAGGATCATGACCTGAGCCGAAGGCAGTCGCTTAACCAACTGAGCCACCCAGGTGCCCCATTTTTTAAGATTTTATTTATTTACTTGAGAGAGTGAGAAAGAGAGACAGAGAATGCACACAAGCCAAGGGAGGGAAAGAGAAGCAGACTCCCCATTGAGCAGGGAGCACGACACAGGACTCAATCCCAGGACTCCGGGATCACTACCTGAGCTGAAGGCAAACGCCCAACCGACTGAGCCACCCAGGTGCTCAACGGACATAACATTTTTTTAAATAATTATATTATCCAAAAAAATGTGAGAAGAGTAGCATTGTAAAACAAAGATTTTGCTAATCTTTTTCACGCCTGGCTTAATGGAAGATAGCTTGACTCTCATACCTGCTTCCACATACAATTACACATCATACAGCCTCTGGAAAATGCCACTGTAGAAGGCAAAGAATGTCTCCATATTATTGCGCATATAGTTTGACCTTATAGGTGCCCCGATAGGATCTTAAGGAACTACAGGGATCGCCAGACCACACTTTAAAAACCACTGCTTTAAATAATTGTCATAAGTTGAGGGAAGGAAGGCGTTTTAATTCACTCGAAAAGTTTTCGAGTGCCTACTCTGCGCCAGCTACTGTTCAAAGTAAACTAGATAGATCAGGTCCTGTCCTCGGGGTACTCAGGGTACGGTGACAGAAAGATCAGGAACCGCTTCTGTTGACATTTGAGCTGAGACTTAAGTGAAAGAGGTCACGCCATGCAGAGATCTGGGGAAAGAGAGTTCCTGGCAGAAAAAGGGGGCCCTGCCTCTCTGGAATGTAGGCAGAAGAATCGGGTCATAAGAGGTCAGACAGGTGGGCAGGACCAGATCTGGCGGGGCCAGGTAAGGAATTAAGAGTTTTAAGTCTACGGGCGCCTGGGTGGCTCAGGTCATGATCCTGGGGTCCTGGGATCGAGACCCGCATCGGGCTCCCTGCTCGGCTGGAGGCCTGCTTCTCCCTCTGCCACTCCCCCTGCTTGTGTTCCCTCTCACGCTGTCTCTCTCTCTCTGTCAATTAAGTAAAATTAAAAAATTTAAAATAAAAAAAATGTTTTAAGTCTAAATTTCTTGACTGTAGCAAAATAGAGGAAGAGGGTGGAATGGCTTAAGGTTGTGTGTTTGGAGCTAGGAAAGTCACTCAGAGGTCAAGCACATGCTCCTGGGCCGGGGCCAGTTTGGCTTCTCCCAGCCGCCCGACCCGGCCTGGAGTGGAGCGTCAAATCCGCTTAATGACGCGACTGGGGGCGGAGGGGTTGGGGAAGAGCGCGTCCTACCTCAGGAAGTTTGGATCTCGGCGCCCGCCGTAGACGTCGTGACAGAGGCGGCCCGTTGCCTGGGAGCCAGTGAAACGCCACTCGGCCTCCGCCGCTGTGGAGAGTGCCAGCGTTGGTCCTCGGTCACCATGTCGGTGCTGGACGCGCTTTGGGAGGACCGGGATGTCCGCTTCGACGTCTCCTCGCAGTGAGTCGCTCCCGGGGCCTGTAGAGGGCGCCGCAGCGCGGCTTCAGGAGGAGCCTGCGCCCCCGCAGAGCTCACGGCCCTCGCGAGAGTGGGAGGAGGTTTGATCCTGTGGTCTGCTCGCCGGGAGATCCCGGACTGGCCCGAGCACTGCGGGAAGGCGTCTCCGTTAAACCGTTTCAGTCCAGGGCGACCCCAGCCCGCCGGGGAAGCTGAGCCCAAATACGTCCGGGACCATGTAGGGCTTGGGCGTCCAGTACACCCAAGTGAGCTTGGAGTGCCGGTTTCCTGTGGTGGAGGGACGCTGGGCAGGGACTCAGGAGACCAGGGTTCTGAACCTGGGTCTGGAATAGCGACACACCTTGTGGTCGCTATCCTAAGCTTGAGCCTCTTTGTCTGTAAAACAAGGGAGGTGGGAATAAAGATCCTCCAAAATTCCTAACCACGCAGACTTTTATTTCCATAATAAGCTTTCATTTAAATCACCAATGGAAAGAAGGAACTACTTTTTGGAACCTCTCAATAGAAACTCTGGGTTTTTGGGGGGAGAGGAGGTTTGTTGGGTTTTTTTTTTAAGCTCACGCTTTAAAGAAAGAATACTTAAAATCCTCCTACCCAAAGACCAGGGGGAAAATGCCCATTGAGATATTAACTGTTGGAAGACCGTGAAGCTAAGATTCTAGGGTTAATGGAATGAAGCTTCTTAGCCACTTCTTGTGATTCCTTATTATGACCAAAACCTTAGAAAATGAAATAATTTCCTAGGCTTAGTTGTAGCTAGATATCTAATAATAACATCTTAGATCCTTTAAAAAGTTGTGAGGGAAGGGAATTTATAAAATTATAAACGATGGTTACATATTGCACACATTCTGTGATTTTCTATTATTCTTGGAGGGTTCTTAATCCAAGCAAAAGTCCATTTCATGAATAATTCCATTTTATTGAACATTTATCAAATGCTTACTATGTGCTAGTTACTGTGCTGATAGCTAGAGATACAAAAATAATAAAAAATTATTACCTGCCCCCCATTTTAGTGCAGGAGATACACATAGACAACTATTTTGGTAAATAGCATCCTGAAAAAAATGAACAAGAAGCTGGGGTATCATAGAAACAGAATAGTTCATTTTGCCTGGGGAAGACCTTGAAGAAGAAATAATATTTGAGTTCAACCCTGAAGATTGGACAGGGCCTTGTCAGGATAGACAGAAGGAGAGTATTCCAGAAAAAAAACAAAACATTAGGAGCATAGTCTTGGAAGTATAAACGTCATTGGCTGGAAGGCAGGGTCGGCAGTTAGAGGATGGAGGAACAAACAGGTAGATTAGCCAAAATGTTTAGCTGAGGATTTTGGACGTCATTTTCTAGGCAGGAAAATTCTTAAGCAGGGAAGTTATATTATGATTATATCTGTATTTTCAGTAGGTAATTGAGTCAGCTCTATGGAGAGTGTGTTAGAAGGCTTTACCAAATATTCTGCCGTTTTTGTTTTAGGACACTCTGGAATGCATTCTATCAGTCAGCAAACTATTTTTCACTCCTTATTTCCTTTTATTTCCTGTATCTAATTGTTTGCCAAGTCCTGATCATGCTTTGCTTTAACTTGCTCCTTCCATAACTGCCTGACTTCCTTTCCTCTACTCAGAAACCTCTGAGGGTTCTCCATTGTCCATAGGACAAGGCCCATACCTATCCGACTAGCATTCAGAGGTAGTGGCATATATTTCTCACTACCTCGTAACATGGATCTTCTTCCCTTGCCAGGCCCGTCTTTCCACATTCCCTTATCATGTCTTTTTTCTGGTCTTTAATCATGGACTCTCCTCCCTCTCTCTATTTCTCCAAATCCTACCTCTCCTATTTCAGGCTTCTCTACATGTCCCTGGTCACTCCAGGCCCCAGTGGTCTCCAGATTCTTAAAGTTCTTAAGCCCTTATTTTCAAATGCATGAGCATTTGGTACTATTTCATTTATACTGTTGGCTGTTTTATGTGCATAAATCTCTTCTCTCCTTAACTAGATTGTAAGTGGGTATAGTTGTAGCTATTAAAGCCTTGATATTTACTTTAGACAAATGAAAACAAGACCTGGAGAAGTCCTTATTGATTGTTTAGATTCAATTGAAGACACCAAAGGAAATAATGGGGATAGAGGTGAGTATATTTTCTAATATTTTTTATATTTCTGGTTTGATTTACAAATGTTAAATCATACTAGCTGGAGAATAAGATATGAAACAGCATTATATGTAAATGTAATTGTGACAGTGAAAGAGTTAAATCCACATAAGACTTTTCTCAGACTTAAACAGGAGAAAAGGTGGGTATTAAACCTGTAGCCAGGGAATACAGGTTCTTCCTCGGAACTTTGGTCCTTCAGTAAGTCCCAGTTTTGACATCAGCTTTCTCCAACATAACTGTTAAAACTCTGGGATCCCTGTTTGTAAGGGGCATGGAATAGTTCTGACTTTTGAATCTGCCTCCCCACACAAAGAATATGACATCATAGAACATAAGTAGGTCACAGCTGTGCTATCTGGAGCCATGCTTCCTTTTAAGAAATCCAAGAGTAATTCACAATCCCCCAGACTGACACCTGGAGATGGACATGTGGAGAGCAAACTTAGTGCTGTATTGTGAAGTCTATTTGTAGGTTAAGCACTGAAAAGTCCTGTGAGACATTTATGTATGTCATTGAGGAGCAGCCAGAGTTGGACTCTGGACTCCCTCTCAAACCAAATTTTCCAAAGGCTGGAACTTTGAAAAGTCCAGGCTGCACACAACAGCTGTACATAGAGTCAGTATCCAGTGACCAGGTCTTGTAAGTATCACTACTGTTGTTTTTGAGGAAAAAAAATAGGGGATGAGTGGGCAGCCGAGTATATCTGAGAAGGTTTTTTAGAGGAAAGGAGGTTTAGGAGGATGGGTCATAAACCTCTTATTGAAAAGAGTAAGTGGGGGCAAAGGAGCTGACCTCCTTCAGGTGAGAAAGATCAGTAAATCCTAGAGTCTCCACAGTAACCCTTATTGGGAGAACATGCTCACTGCAGCCTTTCAAGTGGCCACTTGCTCTCTTAGTCTTTCTTCTGGTCAGCTCTGGGGTGGAATGTGAGCAGCAGGTTTAGTTGTGGGCCTTTCTTCCCTGTGAAGGGCACCTGTCATCACCACCAGCTACAGGCAGATCCTGTCAATGGCAAGGGCCCATCCTTAAAAGAATGCTTAGATCACATTTATGAAATGCTTCCTAGTGTCGGGCAGGCCCAGGTGAGAGTGAGGTGTGAAGGTTTAGCAGCAAACAAGAAGTCTTAGTTTGTGCCTTTGAGGACCTTTGAGAGTGCAATAATAATCTCTAGATATCTGGATCTTGACAAATGTGAATTAACTTAAGGAAGCCAAGAGAAAATTCGGTTCTCATACAGACTGGCAGGAACTCTTATGTGACAGTCCATCCACCAGTCCAGACAAAGACTATGGGTACTAGAACATTTTTCAATTCATTGAGTACTCATTGAGTGCAGAATCTTATACTAGGATTTTGGAATAGAGGGGGCAAAACACCTCCCTGGCCAGAAGTATCCATCACAGTGAGTGCCTGAAATCTTCCTATTCATAAAAATAACTATGTGTACTCACCTCAGAAACAGTTCCCCAGAAAATAGAATATTACAGGAGGGCATAGAGCTTCTGGTTAATAAGAAGGTAGAAAAGAGAAGGGGACTCCTGCCTTCTCCTGCCATCTTCCTTCCCAGCAGTTTGAAAATGACCCAATTAAGGCATTCATTAAGTTCAGGAGACCTGTGTTAAAACTATAAATACCCCAAAAGATTAGCACATTTAATCCATTTCAACTGTAAGTACCCTGACATGAAATTATCAGATTAGCTTTATACATTGAAGCTGAAGGGAATGAAACAGCCGTATTTCAGTGTTTGAGATTAGGAAAAACAGGGACAGTTATTATTTTGGTGTTTGGAAAGAGAGTAAAGTCCATGCCTAGGACACTGGGTTTGTAGCGATAGGATGAGGCCTTTCAGCAAGAAAGAGGCAACATAAGAATGATAGAGATTTGTAGGAAATGTACCAAGAACAGAAAAATAGGTAATCAGACTTGGTCACTGACTTTACTTACCACTCCATAATTTTTCCTGGAATCCTCTAGTAGACAAATAACAAAAAGAATCAAAAGATGTGGTAGGCTTATAGTCCAGTTGTGGAGACATAATGTTACTTACATGAAATGGTGTAAGGAAAACATAAATCAGTGTATCTATAATAACAAAATAAATCATAAAAATTGGTTTGTAAAGAATTAAAATATTAAAAAATAACAATAGTTAACATTTTGAATGTTTACTCTTTGCCAGTCACTGTTCTGAATCTTTTACATAATATGTGTAATATCATTTAATAATAAAATTAATAATAAAAAATGAAGTGGATGTTGTCACCCTTTCTCTTAATAAGGAAACTAAGGAACAGAGGTTAATTAACTTTTCCAAAGCCACATAGCTACCAAGTGATGAACCAAACAGCCTACATTGCTTTCCAAACTGCTAGGATCACATTATTCTCTTCTCAGAAATTTTCAGTTCTCTCCAATCCCAATTCTAAACCCCAACTCTGCCTCCATTGCTAACAGATCTAAGTCTGACTTTCTCTCTTTTAAATTTTTATTTTAATTCCAGTTAGTTAACAGTGTTATATTAGTTTCAGGTGTGCAATATAGTGATTCAACAGGTCCCTGCATCACAGGTGCTCATCACAACATGTGCACTCCTTAATCCCCATCACCTGTTTCACCCAAGGCCTTCCCCCACACTCTTGGTAACCATCAGTTTGTTCTCTATAATTAAGAGTCTACCTCTTGGTTTCTATCTATCTCTCTATTTCTTTTTTCCCTTGTTTGTTTTGTTTCTTAAATTCCACTTATGAGGGGCACCTGGGTGGCTTAGTCCTTAAGCATCTGTCTTCGGCTCAGGTCATGATCCCGGGGTCCTGGGATCAAGCCCCACATTGGGCTTCCTGCTCGGCGGGAAGCCTGCTTCTCCCTCTCCCACTCCCCCTGCTTGTGTTCCTGCTCTTGCTCTGTCGCGCTCTCTCTCTGACAAATAAATAAGATCTTTAAAATTAAAAAAAAATCCACATATGAATGAAATCATACGGTATTTGTCTTTCTCTGACTTACTTTGCTTAGCATTATACTCTCTACCTCTGTCCACGTCATTGCAAATGGAAAGATTTCATTCTTTATGGCTGAATAATATCCCATAGTTTATATATACCACATCTTCTTTATCCATTCATCAACCAATGGGCACTATATCTTGGCTGTTGTAAATAATGCTGCTATAAACATAGGGGTGCATGTATCCATTTAAATTAGTGTTTTTGTATTCTTTGGGTAAATACCCAGTAGTGTGATTTCTGGATCGTAGGGTAGTTCTATTTTTAACTTTTTGAGGAACCTCCATACTGTTTTCCAAAGTGGCTGCACCAGTTTTCATTCCCACCAAGAGTGCATGAAGGTTCCTTTTTCTCCATATCCTCACCAACACATGCTGTTTCTTGTGTTGTAGATTTTAGCCATTCTGACAGGTGTGAGGTGATGTCTCATTGTAGTTTTGATTTGCATTTCTCTGATGGTAAATGATGAATATCTTTTCATGTGTCTCTTGGCCATCTGGATGTCTTTGGAGAAATGTCTGTTCATGTCTTCTGCCCATTTTTTAATTGGATTATTTGTTTTTTGGGTGTTGAGTTTTACAAGCTCTTTATATATTGTGGATACTAACCCTTTATCAGATGTCATTCGCAAATATCTTCTCCCATTCCATAGGTTGCCTTTTGGTTTTGTTATTGTTTCCTTTGCTGCAAAGAAGCTTTTTATTTTTAGCCAGTAGTTTATTTTTGCTTTTGTTTCTAAGTCTGAATTTCTGGATCTAGCATTGAAGAACTTCTAGTTTGTCCACAAAGAGTCTTTCTTGCTTATGCCACTGGCTTACATTTGTCCCTCCAGGTCCAGCATCCATCACCCTTTCCCCCTTGCCCTGGAAAAATGACTTGTATAGACTACATCAGGGGGCTCTTATGCACTGTAGCTTTGGGTTGGAAGAGCCATTCCAGAAGATCAAAGGGAGGCAGGAGAGTGAGGTCTGGGTATTTATTCCCCTGGTTCTTTCTTCTCAAGGTATTCAGCTGTGCAGGACTTCCAGATTTGGCTAACTGTTCCCTGTCCTTGTCCCATTGGGCCTGGGGTGGTAACAGGTTTGCAGCACTCACTTATGGTTCCTGACACCCCACCCATACCTTTGTAATAGTCATTTTATAAATAAACTTCAGTTACTCTAATTTGAGTGTGCCATCTGTTGTCTGTTTGACCTCAACCGATAGATGCAGTGTCTACTCTTCTATGGTCTTGAGTGAATCTTATACTCTTGCCATGATGGGTTATTTATTTTTTGTCAAATATATTATGTTATGTTCCACAGTTTCTCTTGAGAAGGCCTTCCTTTATTTTGGTAACCGCCTTGTATCATCTCACTCTAGCATTCATACAAGCTTAGTTTCTCTGATTTTGGATATTCTGGAGGTTTTCAGGGAGGAAGAAGTATTACCTGGCTATAGATTACTCATCAAAAGAATTCTATGGTTATAATTTGTTGAAGAAATGTTGGTTAAAGTTAAGTGAGTTTTATTCAGGATATCACAAAGTTATGCTAAAATGTTAATTACATTATAAATCCGTAAGACAGTTTACCATGCTCAGATTTACTTGACTTTTTTTTCTAGAGCATTTATAGGGACTACTGTTTCATAAGACACACTTTGAGAAATGAAGTTTATCTAACTCTCTATTTCAGTGTAAGAACATCAGTCTGAAGTTAGGAATGAAAAGCATAAAGCCTTAAGCAGACTTCAGCCTGGTCATAACTTCATATGAGCAAAAATTTTTTGCTTATTGCAAAAAAATGGGTTTATAAGTGTCGCACCTGTAAATGAGAACTGTTAAGAGAGCAGTCCTGTGGCAGAGATTAGTGTATATATGAAAGTCCTTTGAGAAGTATGATTTCATTAAATGGCTTTGTAATTATTCTATCACATACTCATTCTCAGTTGTGCACCTATGACCTGCCAGGACTCCCAGAACAGCTTCCACCAAGACAAAAATCCAAGACACAGTTCTCTGTGCTAATTTGAGTCAAACCAAGCTGTTGACATTGAATACCTGTATCCCTTCTGTAACTATCAGATTTTGTTTCTCTGGGATTCTGAATCATGCATTGTATACTACACAGGATAGATACGAGCAATAAACATGTTCAGTTGATAAATGTATGAGAACATCTGTGGGGATTACTGCCGTTACTGAGCTAGAGGTTCCATGTTTACCTCTTTCTGTACTGTAAAAATGGGTCCTTACTTAAAGTAACCTGTTTTTTGGTTTGTTTGCTCTTAGGTAGACTCTTAGTAACAAATTTAAGAATTATCTGGCATTCTTTGGCATTACCCAGAGTCAATCTTTGTAAGTATCTTTGTTAGATTACACTAAAGAAAAAAAAATACTTTGTCAGGTGAACTTGCACAGTGGCTTTTGATAACCAAAAAAGCTATACCATGAAATATGCGGAAAACTTAAATTGATAAAAACTTTAGCAATCTTAGACTAACCACAGACTGTACCATTTTGCAAAAGAAATATTTTTCAGTCCATTTTGTCTCTTGGACATACACGAGATTAGTGCTTTTACACTGAATGGTTTTTGTTCTTTGCTTATCTTTGACAACTTGCTGTGACCTGTTTCAACTAATCCCAAAGAAGGGAGATCTAAATTCTAATAAAAGTGCAACCTTCCATTGTGTTCACTTTTGTTTTACTTATATTTTTTAAAATTATTTTAGATTGTCCAGCTAGACTTTTTCTCTTGAGGTACTGGTGCTAAAATGTTCAGTAAATAATACTGTATAGGTTTTAGAGAAGCAAACTTCCTTTCTTTCTTCCTTAGAGAAGCTTTGAATGTTGTTTGTCCAAAGAAGCAGAATTCACTTTTAGTTCTTTTAATTATTTAACTTAAATTTGTAGTAATTTATTAAAATGTTTTAAAGTTGTACTTTCCATATATTTAATTTTTAACACTTAAAGTTCTGTATATAGAGGTTTTTATCTCTCAGTTTATCATGTTCTTGAAATTCTTTGCTTTTGAATTTTAGCTATAGGTTACAACTGCATATTGAACATTACAACAAGGACTGCTAACTCTGTAAGTCTGAAAAATTTACTGAAATATATATAGTGAAGAAACATTAGATATTTGAGATTAGACTTTGTTTTCACTGTAAATGGGAAATTGCTCTTGAAATCTGAACTTTTAAATAAATTTGTCCTTACAGAAATTACGAGGCCAGACTGAAGCTCTTTATATACTAACAAAATGTAACAGTACTCGTTTTGAGTTTATATTTACAAATTTGGTTCCTGGAAGTCCTAGACTTTTTACTTCTGTGATTGCAGTACACAGGTATGGTAATACTTTATGGATTATTGAATAATTTTAAGGCAATTCTATGATAATAGAGGTTTAGAGGATAAAGTGTGTAAGTATGGTACCATTTTCCTCCAAGCTCAGAAAATTGCAATATTCTGAAGATAGATAGAAGAACATTCTGCATTATCATTTAATAAGCACTTTGAAAGTATTTATAAAACAATAAGACTACTGAAGATTCATAAAAATTTCTACTTGAAGATTCTATTAAATTTTTAAGCTACCAAGGTAGTTACAGTGAAATAGAGAGTTCATTCAATATAGATAACCAAGTTGGATAATTCAGTTAATGAATTTAAAAAGATTATTTTAGGGGAACCTGGGTGACTCAGTCAGTTAAACCTCCAACTCTTAGTTTTGGCTCAGGTTGTGATCTCAGGGTCATAAGATTGAGCCCCACCTCGGGCTCTGCGCTCAGTGCAGTCTGCTTGAGTTTCTCACTTCCTTTCCCTCCCTTCCCCCTCCCCGCACTCTGTCTCTCTCTAAGATAAATAAATCTTAAAATATATATATTTTACTAGCAGTAGAAGGCATGTCTGGGTATTTCCCCAAAGAGTTTTGTTGTTGTTTTCTTTTGTGGTTGTTTGTTCATTTGTTTGCTAAATTATTTTCACTACCTTAGCTCTTTCTTTTTTTAAGATTTTATTAATTTACTTGAGAGAGAGAGAGCACAGAGGGAGAAGGAGAAGCAGACTCCCTGCTGAGCAAGGAGCCCGACATAGGGCTCCATCTCAGGACTCTGGGATCATGACCTGAGCCGAAGGCAGCTGCTTAAGTAACTGAGCCACCCAGGGGCCCCGCTCTTTTCTTTCTTTCTTTTTTTTTTTTTTTTAAATTCTATAAGGAAATGCAAGTTGACATTTTCTCATTTCCAAGATATGTAGAAACAACATATTTGCACATAATTTTTTGGGTGTAACTCAGCCTCAATCCACGTGTCATAAATTGCTTTGCAGGAATATTTTTCTAATGTCACAATTTCATTATTCAGTGCTGCACATTGTGCTCATATCATTTCCTCCGAGTTAATCTACAAAGGGTGGCAGCTGGGGAACTGCAGAAAATATGGAATGCTTCACAAATTTGCATGTCATCATTGTGCAGGGTCTATGCTAATCTTCTCTGTAACATTCCAGTTTTAGTATATGTGCTGCTGAAGTGAGCACCTTAGCTCTTAATTTTTAATCAGCCCTAAGTACGATGATGTTTTAAAAGCTTGGCTAAGATGACAGGCTGTTACACATATGCACAAATTAAGACTCACACACACAGAGAAATATATATGCTATTGTTTTAATTTGCATTTCTTTATTACTAGTGATGTTGACATTTTTCTCCTTTTTTGGCTATTTACAGTTTTCTATTATAAATTTCTTAATTATGTCCTCATCTGTCATATATGTTGCAAATTTATTTCTTAGTTTCCTAGTTATTTGATTTTATATTTTGTTGATGATTTTCTAATCTACATAATGGTTTAAATTTTTTTTTAAAGATTTTATTTATTTATTTGCTAGAGAGAGAGAGCATAGGCGAGAGAGAATGAGCGAGAGCACAAGCAGGGGGAGCTGCAGGCAGAGGGAGAAGTAGGCTCCCCACTGAGCAGAGAGCCCAATGCGGGACTCGATCCCAGGACCCTGGGATCATGACCTGAGCCGAAGGCAGCTGCTTAACTGACTGAGCCACCCAGGCATCCCATGGTTTAAATTTTTTGAGACATAACTCATATAAAATTTACCATTTTAAAGTTTACAGTTTGGGGGGTGCCTGGGTGGCTCAGTTGGGTAAGTGTCTGCCTTTGGCTCGGGTCATGATCTGGGGGTCCTGGGATGGAGTCCCGCAGGGAGCTGAGCAGGGAGCCTGCCTCTCCCTCTGCTTCTCCCACTCATCCCCTCCCACTTGTGCGCTCTCTCTCACTCTGCTCTCTCTCAAATAAAATCTTTTTAAAAAATAAATAAGGTTTACAGTTTGATAGTTTTAGTATTTCACAAGATTGTGCAGCTATCATCACTACCCAATTCTGGAATATTTCTGTCACCCCAGAAAGAAACTCTTATAGCCCTATAGTCCCCATAGTCCTTCCCCATTCCCTCCTCTTCATAGCTCCTGGCAACCACTGATTTTCTTTCTTTCTCTACGGATTTGCTTATGTGGGACATTTAATATAAATGGAATTATACAATATAGTGGCCTTTCATATCTGACTTATTTCACTTACATAATGTTTTCACTGACCATCCATGTTACAGCATGTATCAGTACTTCGTTCTTTCCTATAGCTAAATAGCATTACATTGTATGAACATATTTTGTTTACCCAATAATTGTTGATAAACATTTGGATTGTTTCTACTTTTTAGCTATTATGAATATTTTTCAGTTCTGTTGGACATATATCTAAACCTTATTAGCTCTTTATTTTACTTTACTTAGAAATATAATCTGAAGATGAGTATGAAAGGAGTATATAAGCTGCTTTTCTTCAATAGTATAAAAATAAGTGTTCCCCTTACAGCATAAATAGTTTCCATTTTGTCCACTGGTTAAACATTGATGATTACAGCACTAAAGGAAATTAAGATTTATAGGCAAATGCTCAAATCCTCCTCTTTCACAATTTATATGTTAGGTTAATTAAAGTTAAAATCACAAGTTTAACAATGAGTATTATGATTTATATAAATGATTTCTAAAGTTATTCAGGCTGAGAAAATCCTTTAGTTTTATTAAGTGGGTAAATTCGCCTATAATTTTGAGGGGTAAAATTATAATTAATCAAATGTTATAATAAAACTAATCCAAAAACTTATAATAAAACTAATCAGGGGCGCCTGGGTGGCTCAGTCATTTAAGCATCCTGACTCTTGATTTTGGCTCAGGTCGTGATTTCATTGTTGTGAGATTGAGCCCCATGATGGGCTCCACACTCAGCGGGGAGTCTGCTTGAGGTTCTTTCTGTTCCTCTCCTTCTTCCTCTCCCTCTGTCCCTCCCCCTGTTTGTGTGTGCTCTCTCTCTTTTGCTCTCTCTCGAATAAATAAATCCTTAAAAAAACTAATCAAAACTAATAATACAGAACTTTCTTCTGTATTTATTATTTATCAATAGGAAGACATGGAGAGAAAATAAAGTTAGAGGGATTTTATATATATTTTATTTGTGTGTGTGTATATATATATCTATATATATATAAATTGCACACAGACACACTGTCCTAGGGTCCCTTTTGGAGTTGGTACAGAATCATTCCAATTTCCTCTATAGAGGAAATTGGGGGCACAATGTTTGTAGTTGCAATGTGAAAAGTAATTGTACTCCCAATTGTGCCTTTGACTAGAAGGTGCCTTTGACTAAAACAGAAATGGAGGGAAGCATTTTTTTTTAAAGATTTTATTTATTTATTTGAGAGAGAGAGCACATGAGAGGGGGGAGGATCAGAGGGAGAAGCAGACTCCCTGCTGAGCAGGGAGCCCGATGCGGGACTCGATCCCGGAACTCCAGGATCATGACCTGAGCCGAAGGCAGTCGCCCAACCAACTGAGCCACCCAGGTGCCCAGAGGGAAGCATTTTGATAGGGAAAAATAATTTCCATGTCTGTTATATGGAAGCATTGTTTTTCAGCTTAAAGAGAAAATGTTTCCTCTCATTTGTGCTGTATGATACATGTTGTCTTAAAAATTAGACCTCCAAAAATAGGTTACTGAAATACTACACTAAAATGATAAAGTCTATAAAAGACTGTGACACCAAAATTTATTGAAAAGCAAATTTTTAAATTTATTGTGATAATTGAGTGATATACATAAGTATTAATAAGTGTATATTTTGGTAGATAAGTAAACATAACCTAGGAAAACCACATTTTCAGTTTGGGTTGGTCTTTGTTCTTTTTTATAGAGCATATGAGACTTCTAAAATGTATCGTGATTTTAAATTGAGAAGTGCACTAATTCAAAATAAGCAACTAAGATTATTACCACAAGAACATGTATATGATAAAATCAATGGAGTATGGAATTTATCCAGTGATCAGGTATTGTGCAAAAAGCTAATGAACCTTTTGGGTCAGTACTTTGGTAATCATTTTTCCATTGTCATTGAGTTTGAATATTCACTTAACTCTGTTAAAATTAGCATTGTATCTCCTGATAAGCTAATATTATAGCTCTTGATATGAAATGATATTCTGATTTTCATGTTTTTATGGGTTTGTGTTCTTTTTAGCAACACTTGTTGTACATAGAATTTACAGGTGGAGTGGTCCTTGAGATTATCTAGTTCAGTCTCCATTCACATATAGACTAAAAACTCAGGCCCCAAAGAATTAAGTGACTTCACACATCTAGTTCATCTGAGAACTGTGTTCTTCCCCACATGCTGCACTACTCTCAACATCTTGATAACTTATGCTGATGGAAGATAGCCATGAGGTGGACAGTCGTGGAAGACTTTTAATCTGGTCTTTTAGGGTCACCTGGCTGGCTCAGTTGGAATAGCATGCAACTCTTGATCTCGGGGTTGTGAGTTCAAGCCCCATGTTGGGTGTATTTTATTTAAGAATAAAATCTTAAAAAAAAAAGAAAATCTGGTCCTTATGGAATTAAACGTAAAACTCATTTGGTGATTCCTACATCCATTATCATAACTTCTTATTTGCTCTTGAAGTTATGACCAGTTAAAACATCTAAGTTGGAATTAAGTAACACATCAATTTCTAAAGAAAAATTTTCTCTTACCTAAGAATAGTTTCCAGCCTCTGTGTTACACCCTAGGTTAGACTGATAACCTCTGGAGTAAAGCTATAGCATTTGAATGAAGAGCTTCTTGCTAAACATTGAATCATAAACTTAAGTTGTAATTAAATTTTGCTCATTTGAAAAGTTCTAGTTTTGGGGCACCTGGGTGGCTCAGTCATTAAGCGTCTGCCTTCAGCTCAGGTCATGGTCCCAGGGTCCTGGGATTGAGCCCCGCATCGGGCTCCCTGCTCAGCGGGAAGCCTGCTTCTCCCTCTCCCACTCCCCTGCTTGTGTTCCCTCTCTCGCTGTGTCCCTCTCTATCAAATAAATAAATAAATCTTAAAAAAAAAAAAGAAAAGTTCTAGTTTTAAACACTGATAATGGTTCTGTAGTATATAGACAGCTCTACATCTGAGTAAGTCCTCATCAGGATTCAGCAGTCTTTTTACTCTAAAGATGGTAAATATTTTAGGCTTTGCAGGTCATACCATTTCTGTCATAACTTCTCAGACTTGCCATTGTAGTGTGAAACCAGCCAAAGGCAACAAATGAGCATGGCTATGTTTCAATAAAACTTTGTTATGGACGCTGAAATTTGAATTTCATACAGTAGTCATGTATCATGAATTATTATTCTTTTGACTTCTTTCCAGCCATTTAAAAATCTAAAACTTGTTTTATGGGGCCAAGAAACTTGGCTTCTTGGCTTGTGAGCCATACAAAATGAGGCAGCAGGCCAGATTTGTCCCGCAGACCATAGTTTACAGATCCCTACCTTAGGTCATAGCTTAGATGTCAGTTTCTATAAGCTTCCCTCTGTATGTTACTGATGCAAGCTATACTTAATTACCACTTTACATTGTTCCTGCTCTAAAATACTGAGCTTGTCTGTACCCCAACATTAGTAGGCTTTATAAGGGTAGGGGTGGAATCACTCTGTTAGATCCTTACCATCTAGCACCACACCACAGGCATTTTAAATTAATTAAGATGTTCAGGATTATCAGAAATATTTTACTGAAAAGAGGAATGTCATTGTTAACCTAACTTATGCTTATTAAATATAAAATATGCCCTCCTATTCTTTTAAAAAATCCTTAGTTTTGCAAGCTGCTCTCTTCTAAAATAAGAAGAAAGAATGACATAAATAATTATTCCCTATAAAATTAGACTTAGTACTGTTTAATGGGATGTGGGCCAGGAAAAGGGGGCTAAAATTTTTTGTATAACAATTTTTTGCAAGATGAGAGTAGAGGAGGGAAATCTAGACACTTACACATATGTTTATTAACTTAATTATAATTAAGAAATAGGTGGTCTTTTCTGATGTTTCAAACCTGGTCATCCCAGAAGAGGACTTTTCAGGTTTTGGGTTTGTAAGTTAATGTTTTGTGTCCAAACTCAGCGTATAAAATAAATTCCTCTGGGAGTATATGGTGGGGAGGAGGTGGGGGTGGAGGTGGATAATGATACGGATAAATGGTAGAGGTGGCTAATTTTGGTGCCATGTACTAGGTATTACAGATTTTTTTAGACCATTTAGTTACCATACTGGAGTAATTTTGAGTAGATGTTGAGGGGCCATATAATTGGAAGACAGTTTTGATTTATAGTTAGTATTGAAAAGCTGTAAAACACTTCTTGTGGACTAATGGGGGTTATCACATAAGTTTTGTCTTTCTCTCACCACAACTTCCTTGTCTTAACTTATCCCAGGTTTTGAATAAGAGTTGTAATAAGATCTAACACTGCAGAATGCTTACTATGTGTCAGACACTGTGATAAGGGCTTTATTTATAGGGGTTATTTTATCAAATCTCCATTTTACGTTTGACACAATGCACCAAGAACAAATTTTTGCCCATGGTCTGGCAACTGATAAGTACTGATGGTATAATGATTAAAGTCTAACTTCAGAATCCAGGCCCTCAGTCATCTAATAGTTCTTCGATCCAGTGAATAATGAAGTCATTAATACTCCATGGTACTTAATTCTGGTATTCTCTGCTGTGATAATCAGAATTATTCTGATGTTTAGAAAATAAAGAATAAGTAGTCAAGCAAATAATCATTGATGTATCTCATCTTTTACAGGGAAATTTAGGAACCTTTTTTATTACCAATGTGAGAATTGTGTGGCATGCAAATATGAATGACAGTTTTAACGTCAGCATACCATATCTACAAATTGTAAGTGCATGCATTTTGGTGACCTTATTTTAATGTAGAATAAATAATTTCTGTTCATTAGTTAATAGAACTTTCAGGGTTAGATGAATTCTGTCTCCCTCTTTTTAAGTGGCAGCAGTGTAGCTGAGAGCAGACTTTAAAATGTTGATAATTTACAATTTCAACATAGAAAAGATCCAATAGTACTTACATTCAAGGGAAACTCCACCATTATCAACTTGCTATTAAGAGAGAAATATACTGGATATAAAAATTTTTAATAGTCACCGTAAAGGGGCACTTGGGTGGCTCAGTCAGTCAAGCGTCTGCCTTCAGCTCAGGTCATGATCCCAGGGCCCTGGGATCGAGCCCTGCTCCAAGGGAGGCCTGCTTTTCCCTCTCCCCCTCCCCCTCCTTGTGTTCCCTCTCTTGCTGTGTCTCTCTCTGTCAAATAAATAAATAAAAATCTAAAAAAAATCATAGAGTCTGATAGGAAGAAGGTGATTTCTGGCCATCTAAAGAAATACAAGAATTAATAATCGTGGCTGGGAATATATGACAGAGTCTACATAAGCATTTGATAAACTGGTGTTTGTATTGTTCATTGCTGTTTTATATGATTTACATATGTTAACAGCTTGTCTGACCTAATCTCTATTATACTAAAAAATTACTGAGTAGTAAACAACCTTGTGCTTTTTATTCTTCAGATAGACACTTTTTGTTATTTAAGAATACAGTTACCAAATATCGCCTCTGGAATGAATTCAGCCTGGTCCAAACAACTTGCAATCTGATATCATCACAGTCTGTCACTAGGACAGTCATGTTCATGTGACTTTTAAAAACTAACCCAGCCTTGGGAACCACAAAAAACACTGGCTCTCCAGTACTAAAAGATTACTGGCCTTTGGTTTAAAATACTCAGAAAAATTGTAGACTCCCTGATTGTGGGGGATATTCAAGTCAGATAATTTTGTGCATATTTCAGAGATGTCTTCTTTGTATTACCTTACAAGTTTGCTGCCTGTTTCTAGTATGAACATTTTCATTTACTTGATCTCTATGGGAGTATAATGAAGGAAAGAGGGAGAATCTTTAGATTATGAAATGCAGTTACTGTATAGAAGTTGAAAAACTTGTGCCAAAGAATCACTAATATCAGATAATAAAAATGTGCATTTTCTTTTTTTCCATTTTACATCTAGCGTTCAATAAAGATTAGAGATTCAAAATTTGGTTTAGCTCTTGTCATAGAAAGCTCTCAGCAGGTAAGATATTTTGTCTGTATTAATCTTTAATAGGTTTTTTAAACTATGTGACAGTCTATATTTTTTGTTTTATTTATATAGTAACCAGTTTACATCCAAGAGGAATATTAGCTGTAACATGTTAAATAAAGAGTTTAAAGTCATATAGTAATTGTCCACATAGGAAAAATCTTTTTATGTTTCCTTGTTGGGCAGACATAACCATTATTGTCATTATGATTATCATTTTTAATGACAGAGTTAAGTCACTGTACTTTTCATGAATTCTCTCAATCTTTATACAACCCTATGATACAGTTACTGTTTTTCCCCATTTTACATTCAAGGAAACTGAGGCTTGGAGAAGTTAGTCCCACAACTAGTAAGTGGTGGGAATAGGTTTTGATTCAGGTCTGACTGACTCACCAGAGTGTCATTGAGAAACACAGATATATACAAATATACACACACATGCACCCTATTTGAGATTTTATACTCTCACATGCAGATTATACTATATCTAATTACAGTTGCTGTGCCCCATTAGGCCAGATCTTTGCAGAAATACATTTGAATAAAACATTTACTTATTTGTAAAATCAACACTCTTCTAAATTCTAAATATAAATATAGAATGTCTAGTCACACCTTTCCCGTGGTCTGCAGATTTGTAGCTTCCATTTCCTGAGTGCTTACTATGTTCCAGGAACTGTATCAAATATCATGTGTACATTATTTTATTTAATACAACAATTAGATAACTGTTTTATGGTTAGAAGATTGAGGGTTGAATGGGGTAGCTGAGTGATGGGTATTAAGGAGGACACATGGTGTGATGAGCACTGGGTGTTATACGCAACTAATGAATCACTGAACACTACATCAAAAACTAATGATTACTATATGTTGGCTAACTGAACATCATAAAAAATAAATAATAAATAACAAGAAAAAGAAAATTGAGGCTTAAAAGATTAAGAAAAGTATGTTTCCCAGCATCATATAGCTAGTAAATTTGTTGTAAAACCAGAATTTAAACTCAAAAGTATATGCTCTCAACCTAAAGCATATGCTCTCACCTTTCACAGTATGCTACTTAATTTTTTAACACTTTTCAACAACAACATGTCGTGGTCAGGTTTCTTTCTAATTCTTCAAGGAATTAGCCTCAGCTGGGCCATTCCCTTTCTTTTAATATGTGGTCTGTTCCTTTTCAAGGTCTAGCTCAAAAAGTTCCATTGGCCTTCACAATCTGTAGTCTATTTTTTTAAATCTTAAAATATCATCTTTGATATTTACAGATGAAATGATGTGATATCTGGATATGCTTCAGAATAATCCTGAGTGGGTAAGGGGAGGAGATTTGGGGAAAGGGGAGGTTAAAGATGGAACAGAGTTGGGCATATGTTGCTACTTACTGAAGCTGGATGATGACTACATGGACACTTATTGTACCCTTTTTTCTATTTTTGTATATGCTTTATGTTTTTCATTACAAAAATTTTAATTAAAAAAATCAGCTTACCTATGGTGCTCTGAAATAAGGACATTAGAGCTATAGTTTTCATGTACTGTAAATACCCATTCCTCAGGCTTGTTTTTTGTTTATTCATTATTTTTTCTTACAGAGCGGAGGATATGTTCTTGGCTTTAAAATAGATCCTGTGGAAAAACTACAAGAATCAGTTAAGGAAATCAATTCACTTCACAAAGTCTATTCTGCCAGTCCTATATTTGGAGTGGATTATGAGATGGAAGAAAAGGTAATTTGTTCAGTATATAAAATACAGAGTTTGCTGAGTTGCTTTTACAGCCTATAAAATTCAGATATAAACACATTGTATACAGTTTAATTTTGAACTGTGTTTAAAATGATGGATATAAAGACTCTGCTCAAAGAGCATGACCCCTCGGCCATCACTAATTTGTGCCATCTACCTGTCTTCTCACTGGCTGCTTCATCATTCATTCCTGCCCTTCTAGATGAGCATTTTATCCAGAGAAGTGTCCATGTGCAAGGCTCCTCTGATGTGGACAGACTTCAGTCTCTCACTCTGTTTTATTTTTATTCCACTTCTGCCTCCCACTAGCATTTGGGCAAACCTCACAGGCCTCACAGACACCACACCCACCCTGCTCTCCAGGTACATCAGCTCTCCTTTGACTTTACTCTTCAGCCTCTCCAGCTGGGACCCTTGTCATCTGGTCTGTCACTGGTGTCCTCACCAGTCACTCCATTAGAGATGTCCTCACTTTCTGCTCTGTCAGCAGTATTCTGGCCAGAGGTTCTGTCTCAGGTGCCCTCACTGACCACTCCTGACAGGTTCCCTTGCTGTCTGTTCTTTTGCTGGCGCCCTCACTGTACCCTACAATGGTGCCCTTGCCACCCACTCTTTCAGCAGCGTCCCTGCTGGTGCTCAGCGCGTTGAGCCCTATCACATAGCACATACATTATCTATATCTCTTCTGCTCTTGGAATGCAGCGTGTGACCAGAGAAGATCGGGAAGTAGGGCTGGGCAGCTGAGTTCAAATTCACACCCTCTGACTTCAAACAGACCCTTGTTGCCTGGTAGCGCTCCTTGCTAGTTTTTTCTCTCCCTGTAATATTCTCTATATATCCCCCTTCCCTTCCAGCTGAAACGTCTCTCTGGATTGCTGACACTATATTATACATACACTCATGTTTTTCACATCTTTAACCATCCTTTTCTGTTTTCCTCCCAACCTACACTTCTTTCAACACTATCCCTTTCATTCTGCCTTCTCTGTATTTCCCTCAGGAATATCAGCCCTCTTCCAGTTTCCTCAACCTGTACTTCTGTAGATGACTCCCACATCTTTTATTCTGATCTTGACACATTCTCTCAGATGAGCATGGTTCTAAATATTCCTGAATATTTTCATGTAAATGAGCATTCCAAACAACATAAATTGAATTTCTCACTTAAAAGTTTGTCCTAGTAATTTTCCAAATCTGTAAGATACACTGGGACTTGAGTATCTCAAACTTGGTATACCTAAAATGCTATCATTTTTCTCAAAAGCACCATCCTGCTGATGTATCTATTTATTTTCTGCTTATTTACTTTTAGCATTGGCAAAGTCAGCTGTGCTCAAAACCTCAGAGATTTCATTTTTTATTGTCCTGATTGTCTTATTTTACACATTCAATCATACAACCCCCTCCCTTTTCCTATCCCTTTCTTTTCACTCAAACCACAATTACTGTTATTACTCTTGCTTGCATAATAATATTGTAAAACATGCCTGGTCCTTGGAACCTGGCAAACCTGACTTTCGTCCCAATTTCACCGTTTGTTTGTGATTCTAGGCAGATTTGAGCTTCAATTTTCTCATTATAAAATGAAGATAATCTGGGTGCCTGGGTGGCTCAGTCAGTTAAGCGTCTGCTTTCAGCTCAGGTCATGGTCCCAGGGTCCTGGGATCGAGCCCCGCATCGGGCTCCCTGCTCGGCAGGAAGCCTGCTTCTCCCTCTGCCCTTCCCCCCTGCTCGTACTGTCTCACTGTCTCTCTCACTCAAATAAATAAATAAAATTTTTACTTCAAAAAAAAAATGAAGATAATCTCTCTCACAAAGTTATTGACCACATTCATGAAATGCCTGGCACATGAGAGACACTCAGTATATTAGTTCTCCTACCCATTCTCTCTCTACCTTTAATTTCTTTTCTTTTTTTGGCCCCCACTACGTAATAATAACCAGCCATAATAACCCATTCTGTCATCTCATATAAGGCCCTACTCCAAAGCCACCTCTTCAGGAAGGTCTTCCCTGACCACCGTCTAAAACAGCAGCCTCCATCATTTTTTTGTTCCTTATCCCTGTTTGCTTGCTTGCTTTATTTTTGGTAACACTCATCAGTCGTCTCCACTATAAATAATCTCCATGAAGTCAGGGATTTTCATCTATTTAACCACTGTATTTCCAGCAGTTAGAACTAGCACATAATAGGCGCTTTAGTGAATATTCATAGATGTTGAATGATTGCACTGAACACCTACTGTTCCCATTCACTGCTCTAAGAATTTTATATGCATCATCTCTTTTAATCCTCCCAACCATACTATAAAGTATAGCATTATTATTATCCTTATCTCACAGTTGTGGAGACTGAGGCTTAGCTAGGTTAAGTTACTGGTACAGAGGGGCACCTGGGTGGCTCAGTCGGTTAAGCAGCTGCCTTCGGCTCAGGTCATGATCCCAGAATCCTGGGATCGAGCCCCACATCAGGCTCCTTGCTCAGCAGGGAGCCTGCTTCTCCCCTTCCTGCCGTTCCCCCTGCTTGTGCTTGCTCTCTCTCTCTCTCTCTCTCTCTCTCTCTCTCTCTCTCTCCTGCTCTCTGTGTCGAATAAATAAATAAAATCTTTTTTTAAAAAAGTTACTTGTACACAGTCACACAACTCTGAACGTTGTTGAAACATTGAGGCTATCCTCAGATTAGGGGATCAGGTCACTCTTGTCAAGCAATATACTTCTACCCTACACACCCTCCCACCAATTACCTATAGATAAAGTCTGAATTCTTTGGGCTGGTATTAAAGAATTTCAGTGGACACCAGCCTACATTTCCTACCTTATCTGCACAGCCACAGTATCTGGCTGTGAGGCTGTGCACTGCTCAACTATGAGAACAGGTAAATGTAGGCTTTAGTGTGAATGATGCTCCTTGGGATTGTTCAGTACAATAGCCCTGCACAGCTTCTTCTGTCTCATGGGACTCTTCTGTTCTGACCATACTGGATTATTCATCATTCTTCAGCGCATCCTATGGTTTCTCACCTTTGCTGATGCTGGTCCCCTCTGCCAGAAATACCTTTCCCCTAATCCTACCTATGGAAGTTATCCTCATTCTAAAAGGCCTAGATTACATGCCATTCTTTTCTTCATGAAAGTTTCTGGGATTCACAAGCCAGAAGTTGTGCTGTCTCTAAACTTCTTTATTATAATAGATACTACATCTGTTACAACTATTTTCATAGGTTGAACCATATGATATTAATATCTGACCATGTTTGACTAATAAAAATGGCAATTTCATATGTTCCAACCTAATATTTAGTTATTTGTAATTGTGTTTTATCCTTTGCTCCACCCCCACTAGATTACAAACCTTTTGTCGGTAGGGGTAAGGACTTTTTACCCTTGGTAGTGTTAGCATAATGCCTAACACACCTAAAATACTAAAACATTTGGAAAAAGGGCGCCTGGGTGGCTCAGTCATTAAGCATCTGCCTTCAGCTCAGGTCATGATCCCAGGGTCCTGGGATCAAGCCCCACATCGGGCTCCCTGCTCAGCGGGGGGCCCACTTCTCCCTCTCCCCCTGCTTGTGTTCCCTCTCTCTGTGTGTCTCTCTCTGTCAAATAAATAAATAAAATCTTTAAAAAAATTTTTTTGAAAAATGAATTAATATCAGCACCACATTTTATTCTGCTTTACCATTGGAATATTGCATGCAAATCTTAGTTCTTTTACTTTTCACAAATTCTATTTAATGACTATTTTGAAGAAAATTGAAAATTTGCTATATCCAAACTTAGTTTTTTTAAACTATGTGAAAGAAAATCAAATTAAGTCCATTGAGTTTTTCTTTAAGGATATCTCTAAGTATATTAAGTTTGTGTAAATTTGTCATATTAATACTTTTGATGATATTGACTTCAGATTTAAAAGCTTAGGTTTAACTGATTTATTACTCAAATTAGTTTTAATAGAATATAAATTATACAATGATTTTTCTAAGACTTGAGTAGTTTTCAGTTGTTTTATCCTTTTACAAGTATTTACAGTTCTCACAGCACATTTTATTAAAATTAATTAATATTGTCTCCTTTATGCATTTTTTCCTTGATGCATTTTAATATCTACTGATTTTTAGCCACAGCCCCTTGAAGCTCTAAGAGTTGAACAGATTCAAGATGATGTAGAAATAGACTCTGATGATCACACGGACGCTTTTGTGGTGAGCATGACAAAGAAGAGCTACTAAATTTCTTATGATTTTTTTAATCTGAGTCATGTGTAAGTAATGGCTTAAGTGCATAGAACTTGAGACTTTTGAGAGTTACCTTAAACATGAGTTGGAAAGTAATTTTTTTTTAAGTTAAAGATTTTTTCTTTGTGTGAAATTACTTCTAAATTACCAAACTGGGAAATAGTTTGAGAACACTATTATTCAGAGGATTTCAGATCTATGAAAAATTTTTTACACCTTAGAATAACAGAACAGGTTAAATAGTTAAATTAATTTAAAATCTATACTTTTCATTATTAATCCTTATGAGATGGACATCCTTTCAATTTATTGGTATATTATCTTAAAAAGTGTATTTGAACTATGAGCTTTCCTGTTTCCAAATTTGTATTATTCATAGCCAAAATAATACTAATGCTTTCTATATAGTGTAGTGTATGAATCTGACCAGCATACCTCTCTGGGAATAAATATTTTTTTAAAAGTGTGAAATTAGTATAAAATATTTAATTATAAACTACAGCATTTGCTGACACATTGAAGCACTGATTGTTTTGTTTTGCCAGCACCTTCTTCTAAACCAAAAGTAGGGATGAAGTTTTATAGCTTCTGAGTCATTCTTTTTATCTCCTTTCAAGTTAACAATGCTAATTGTATACTAAATTACAAAACACATTTTTTGGAGCTCAAAGCATAACTCATAGTCATTACTAATGATTGACAGAAGTGAAATCTGCTGCTAGCACAGTAAAGACAGGTGTGAACACCATTAGATGCACAGAAACAGAACGTAAAATACATTTAGTTACACAGTTCTGTAAATTAATTACTTGTTCCTTGGTCCACTGACCTGTTATATGTCAAGTATGTGAAATATAATTTCTTTGTCTTATAGGCTTATTTTGCTGATGGCAATAAGGTAAGGACATTTTATCTATAGTATATGAAATAAAAACTTTCTATATTCCAGCATTGAGTATTCACAACACTTAATGTGAAACCTATTTTTTGTTTTTTTCCTCTTCCTTGCCCACCTTGTCTTTTCCCATCTCATCCTCTTATCTCCCAAAAAGCAACAAGATCGTGAACCTGTATTTTCAGAAGAACTGGGGCTTGCAATAGAGAAATTGAAGGATGGATTCACCCTACAGGGACTTTGGGAAGTAATGAGTTGATCTTGAGTTGAGCTGGATTTCTATTTAAAGATATCTCAAGATTAAAGATACTAGGCGCCTGCTATAAGGCATGGAATAGTTTCTACTTTTACAGAAAAAGCTTTTAAGAAAGAGTTTTTTAATGATTAAGGAAAAACTCATTTATCTAAGATTTTATTGCCACTTTTCTAAAACGTATATTTAAAATTGTAATCAAAATGTATCTGGTTTGTAAATATGTTTATTTTGTACCTAATGCTTGTAAATTATTTGTCTGCAGATAATAAATGACTGCATCATGTTGGGTTTAATAAAGAATTTATACAGCACCATTTAATGTTTTGAAAGTGTTATTTAAAAGAATAAGACTATTATGGAGTAATCAAAATACTGCCTTTTTAATTGTAAAACTCTGGTTTAAATAAATTATCAAATAGCTCCAAATGTAAGCCAACTCTACTATAAATTGTAGCCCTTAAACTTGTTATGTTTAAGTGACCATTTCTGTAAAACCTAAAAATTATAGTTAACTCTGGAGTATACCAACCCCTATGTAATGTTTTGGGCACTATCTTATAGTTTTGGCAAGAATACATTTGTTTTGTAAGGAAATAGTTTTAAATAGTTTGTAAATAAATTGTTCATTTATTGACTTTCTCTTTGTACTCATTGAAACCTCTTTGAAGTTTTCAAAAAATAGGATATTCTCTGATTTCTTGGTTAGCTGTGATTTGGGAACTTCTCTGGCATCCGTGTTTTTTGCCACTGCTTTGGTATAAAGAAACATTGTAAGGAACCTTTGTCAAATCACTGAAATTAGCCAAAGGAGCCCTCTTTCTCTAGAGGGAAAGGAGTGAGTGTGTAATAACAACATATAAAATAAGATGCAACTGTATGTACAACCATAAACACATAGTAAAACCAAATGCTAGTGGGACGCCTGTGTAGCTCAGCCGGTTAAGCATCTGCCTTCAGCTCAGGTCATGATACCACGGTCCTGGGATTGAGTGCTGCATCGGGCTCCCTGCTCAGTGGGAAGCCTGCTTCTCCCTCTGCCTGCTCTGCCTGCCAGTCCCCCTGCTTGTTCTCTCTCTCTCTCTCACAAATAAAATCTTTTTAAAAAGGCGGGGCGGGGGGGACGTCTGGGTGGCTCAGATGGCTGGGCGTCTGCCTTCGGCTCAGGTCATGATCCCAGGGTCCTGGGATCGAGCCCCACATCCGGCTCCTGGCTCAGCGAGGAGCCTGCTTCTCCCTCTCCCTCTGCCTCTCTCCCTGCTCATGCTTTCTCTCTCTCTCTCTCTATCTCTATCTCTATCTCTGTGTCTCAAATGAATAAATAAAGCCTTAAAAAAAAAATGCTAGCCAAATGCTAATTTGAGTTTAGTTAAAATCAATGAAGAAAGCTATACATTGGTTTCTTTATTTAAAAAGGAAAGGAGGGCGCCTGGGTGGCTCGGTTAAGCAACTGCCTTCGGCTCAGGTCATGATCCTGGAGTCCCAGGATCGAGTCCCGCATCGGGCTCCAGTCCCGCATCGGGCTCCAGTCCCGCATCGGGCTCC